TCTCTAATTTTCTTGAGAATTGATGGTCGCAAGTATTCCGCAACAACAAACTCCTCCGCCACCTTAGAGAGAACGGGCGTTAACGAGATGGGACGCAGGTGTTTATTTACGTCCTTATTTGGTTTCTGCTTTGGGATCGGAACGGTATCAGCAGATTTCCAAAAAAGGAGGTAAACGTCTTTCAGCAAAAGAAGTGTTAATGATATCAGTTACAGTATTGAAAAAGAGATCAGCATTTTCCTTTAGCAACCATGCTGGAATACCGTCGGGTCCGGACGCTTTCCTAGGGTTGATCGACGCTAGCTGAAGGTAAACAGCATGCGTAGAAACGCATGTGTGCGATGGCAGATGTCCAAGAGGATTTTGCAAACTTATCCCTGAATGAGATAGCAGGAAATAGACGGGAATTGCTGGGCAAAATTCAGAAACAAATTTGTGACGCAATTGGGTATCTCGAGGCCGGAAGTGACTCTGTAACAAACGAGCAAGTTCGACGCAGCTTACTTCAAGTAAACAAGAATATAGATTCCATAAAAGCCTCGTGCAACGATGTAGGTATACCCGTTTATAATCGTCTTTACTTTCTGCTTTCCATTTTTTATTTTTGTTTTTATCTTTTTTTTTTTCAATTGAAAACTGAAACAATGCTTTCGCACTTCGTATGTTTTCTAATTTGTGGGTGGGATCAGTTTGGTCGCTTCCGTGAAAAGTTTACTTATCAAATAAATAAAACGACAGTCAATCATTTTTTTAGTGTTTCGATCGAAGGACCTGTTGTTGATCTCAGAGAGCTTGATAATCTGGGTTTTATCAAAGTGTACAGAATGACTACGGCTTTCCAATGGTACAACTCAAATCATGTTGTTCCAATCCTGTTTCTTCAGCCAAACTAAATAAACTTTTGAGTTTGAAAATAATTCTCTTTCACTGACCTCATTAGTAATAAAGAGGGGGTATCATAAACTTGTTGACAGATGGGTCGTACCTGGTGCATTTTAAAGCGAAATGCGATAAAGATAATTATTAAAAACTGGATCATTGGATAATGCAATTCAAGACTTTTTATTGGCTTAGCCATTATGGTATATCAGCCAATATACCATAATCTAATATCTGTACATCGTAACATCCGGTCTCTTCTCACGAAATAAAGTTGAGAAGATTTGTCTAATATCTTGGGGGCGTTTTTTTTTAATAAAACAATTATTACACGACTCGGGCAGTCAGAGGGCCAATAACTAAAATCGACCAATCAAAATGCTCTATTGCCGGTCAATATTCTCTCAGTATTGGACCGGGCACTGCCCCGAATGGTCCCGAATGATACCGCACTTGTGTCCCTTTGAACTTCAGTCGTATAATAAATCTCTTATTAACCAAGCTTGCTCGGGACCGTACTGGAAGAATATCGGCCCTCGGCCTTTTTTGTACGGACCTCGCTGCGCTCAGTCCGTACTGTCAAGACTTTGGACCAATATTCTCCAAGTACGGCCCTTGCGCTTGGTTAATAAGATATATATTACGCACAGTGACCACGGAACAAGTAAGTTGAATAACTCTCACTCCTAAATAAATAATAATCTTAATTCGCAGGGGAAGAAAGCTAAAACAAAGCCATGAACGAAATGTAATATTCGAGGACTTGCAGAAATTGCATTTAAAATCATGACCATCCTGAAATACTCTAGGATACAAAAAAGAGAACAACAAACAAACATATCAATGAAGTGAGCAAACAACCACATGCGTGACTTCCACGTAATCTAAAATTTCTTATAAGCGTCATTACTGAGTACCTGTTTTGTGCTAGCGCAAAAGCCGTTCACTAATCTGGCAAGCTTTCTTTTGGTTGATGCTGTTGTTGCCCACATTCGCTTTCTCTGTAATTACATAATGTTTCTTTACTTCTTTGTTTCGTGCTGCCACATTTGATCTAAATTGGATTATTCACGACTGTCAAAACGGACATAACATGACAAACAAATAATTACAATTTGATACCCGTGTTCTTCTCATCGAAAAGACAAAAAAAGATTTTTTTGTATTTCGCGGAGCTTAGAACAATCCATTAAAATGCTTACCCCTTTGGGGGTAGGAGGTCAAAAAGAACAATACATGCAACTGTTTGGCCTGTTCACGTTTCACAATAATAAAGAAATGCATTTTTTGGTGTGCTTAACAAATGCTGTTCAAAAAAAGAAAGGTACCAAGAACATTTTACCTTTGTACTCTTGAGGAGGGTGGCATGGACCGTCAAGTGACAAGACCAAAACCAACGACTGCAAACAAGACCATGTGTAAAAAGTAGTAGCAGAAAGTTTTTTTTTAATTTTTTTTTTCAATGACTGTCACAAAAATATTTACTGCTCCAAGTATTTCCAGTATTGCTCTACAAGCAAATGAATAGCGTAAGCCATCAAGAGGTAATTTATCTGTTGAAAACAATAACTAAATGTTCAACAATAGGCCTAAAAGCTTCCAGGAAGTAAGGGAAAGGCATATTGCATCCCGGTTAGCTCAATGGATAGAGCGCTGGACTGATGTGCGGGAGGTCGAGGGTTCGAGCCCCGGCCGGACCAACACTGAAGGTCTTAAAGTAATTGAGAAGAATATGTTGCCTTTCTATAACATCCAGAAATGGTTTAGGAATTCTAGTCTTCTCGGATAGGGACGAATAAATGGAGGTCCCGTCTCCTGCAGGGTTAGGGGTAGGACGAGATTACTGTGTGATGGATGTCCTCCCCTGGGGAGTTATATTGGTGAGACCACTCGCCACATTTGTACAAGATTCTAAACAATGCTCTGCGCTTCAAGCAGGAATATACGAGGACCAGAGTTTGGCACATGGGTTTTTTTGTTTTTTTGTTTTTTTTGTTTTTTTGTTTGTACATAGAAGCTAGAAGATGGGGAAGCGAAAGACACAGCTTCAAACACACGAAATTTCAAGGACAAATTCGTCAAAGTAAACTAAAGGAAACAGTCATATGTAAGATTTAAAGGAG